TCATTCAAATCATTTGCCTATATATGCCAACTTATACGGCGAAATCCAACATTGGCATTACAATCCATGCATAAAACAATCACAATTCAGTACTGAAAATTATTCAAAAATACTAATATTTAATTTTCGGAATTTGAATATTTTATTAATAAATTTTTTAAGAATAAAATATTATTATTTAATTTCGAAAATTAATTTATTTAATAAAATAAATAGTAACAATAAAATAATAGATAACTTATCGTCAAAATAGCGATAACTTATCGCGAACACAACAATAGCCTATCACACAAATAATCATAATTTATTGAACATGTCGATAACTTGTCGCTAAAATTTACCGATAACTTATCATTTAAACACCGATAACTTATTACTACATCCAATGATAACTTATTATTCACCGATAACTTATCACCAACGATTATCTAATAATGTATTAATAACCTATCACCTAATCTCACTTAACTAGTCAATAAATTAATCTAGACTTACCTAAGCAAGTTTAACACCCTAAATAAGGGATAAGGGGTTAACTTACTCGTCTAACTATGGCGATTACACACGAGAGCGAGAGCGACGGCAACGACACGGCTGTCTGCGGTGGTTTCCAGTTCGGGCTCAGTGGGCGGCGGACGGCGGCGCACGAGCGCGGCAAAGGGAGCGGCTGCCGGAGGCTGTTCGGTGGCTGTTTGGGGGCTGTTCTGGGGCGTGGAATGGTGGCTGGTGGTGTCAGCTAGGCGGCTGGATAGCAGCGGACCAGTAGCTGCAGCGGCGGACGCGTTCGGCGAGCGTGAACGGCGGTGGACGAATGCGACGGAGGGGTGGCGGCGGTTCTGAGGCGGTTTGGGGGTTGAGTCGGGGATGATATGGTGGTTGGTGATGGCGTCTTGGTGGCTGAGACGGCGGTGGACGAGCGGCTCAACCGGTGGGTGCAACCGGCGAGTGACGAAGCTGGAAACTTGGCCGGAAAACAGCCGACGACGGGGGCTGTGGGGTGTGTCTGGGCGGTGCTGCTCGGCCAGAGGGGAGCTGGGGTGGCTGTGGTGCGGTGGCGGGGTAGAGTGGCTCTCGGCGTGATTGGTTCCGGCGAGGAAATGTGCTGGCGGTGAGCTGGAAATGAAGAAGCAGAAGGAAGCAGAACAAGAAGCAGCAGTAGCGAAGCAGGAGCAGAAGCGGCGAAACAGCAGAAGCCAAAGGAAAAGAAGGAAAAGAAAAGGGAAGAAGAGAGAGAGAAGTTGGTGGGGAGTCGGTGGGGGTGTTCAGCGGGAAGTCAGCCAGGGAAAAAAAAAGGGAAGAGAGGGAGAAAGAGGAAGTGGGAGTCAATCATGATTCCAAACAAAATATCCTCCAATTTTCTCTTTCTTCTCCAATTTTGTCCCCAAAATTACCACTTTATCCCCGGCCCGAGTACTAAATTACGGGCCAACTTGTTCTTATCGGGCCTTGATGGCCAGCCTTTCTCGGGCGCGAGGCCCAACGGCTCACTTCCATTTCTCACGTCAAATTTCCAATTCTGAAATTCTTTTTCCGAGATTGAAATTTTCTACGGAAAACTCGTAAAATTACGAGGCGACGTCCTATGGTTAGGGTGTGAAATCCTGGAGCTTTCGACCCTCAAAATCGGATCATAATTCGTGGCGAAAATCGATCAATCGCAACTATAGTTCGTCTCGAACTAACGGACGGCTGTTAGAAATAAATTCGTTGATAGTCTTTCCTCTTTGGTTAGTATTCCCTAAGTGATCGGGTCAGGGCAAGAATTAACTAATAGAGCGTCGACGAAATCACCATTTCATAAATCACCAAATTAGGTTGAATTTTCAGGATATCACAGATGAGGTCTCGGACTGGGTGACCCTTTCACCAGGGTTATTACCCGCAACGCGATCAAGCTCAAGGTGATTCTTTGTCCTTGCCATTGTTAATTCTCAAAATAAACTACAAGTAGTCCCACTGGGCATGCCAAGAAGATGTTTCACTGCAACCTAATCGGCGACGAAATACTTTTCATCGAAATTCGTTTTCGATTTTTTTAAGAGGAGACGAGTTCTATATCACTAGAGGACAAGGAAACCAATAGATATACTTCGATGGAATTTAATCAATGTAAAGTATAAAGCACTTTGCCGGAATTTAATCGACGACAAAGTAAGATGATAGAGAGATACAACGTCAGAATCTAATCGACGACGAAAATGCGAAAGCTACAATTAATTTAATCGACGACGAGATATCTAAAAACTGCAACTATGATACATGAATTGAAAGATAAGTGAAAGATAATGAGTTTTGTTTGTTTCGAGGGTGGGGGTTTACAAAGAGTATGACGTGTTTATTTAAAGGGTTAATACCACGAAAAATCCTAAACTGGTACACTTGTGACAGATTTACCCCAAACTATTTTTTTGACCATAAAAAACCCCAAACTGGTACACCTGTGACAATTTTACCCCGAACTATTTTTTTGACCACCAAAAACCCCAAACTGGTACACATGTGACAATTTTACCCCGAACTATTTTTTTGACCACCAAAAACCCTAAACTGGTACACCTGTGACAATTTTACCCCGAACTAATTTTTTAATATTTTTTTTTCGAATTTTTTTAGTTTTTCTTTTCTTTTCTTTTTCCTTTCCTTTTCTTTTTTTTTGTTCCTTCATCTTCATTGGACCAACAATGGATTGTTATATTGTAATTGATACCACAATAATGTGACACGTAACATAAATGCTACATTTTGACCCAAAAAAAAAAACATAAACGCTAAATGAAAGTCTTTCTTTTATAAGCATGAATTTTCATGACAACCACTTTTTTCTACATTTAAATGTCTCACGTTTTATTTATTATATATTTCAAGTGATCATATTGATTTATGAATCGCCATGCACATATAATATCTCTCATCTTATATATAAAATATACTAATTTTGTAAATTAATCTGTTAAATTAAATTGGCAAGCAAGACGTATAGAAATTGTTGATTAGCTGTACTCCAAGCTTAGGTAACAAGCCTACGTTGGACCCCAACAGTTTGCCTATCCACTTGCACCCAAAAATAAGAAAGACACGACAACAATATAATGCCTTTTTCGCGAGACATTTAAATGTAGAAAAAAGTGGTTGGCATGAAATTTCATGCATATAAAAGAAAGTCTTTCATTTAGCGTTTATGTTTTTTTTTTTGGGTCAAAATGTAGCATTTATGTTGCGTGTCACGTTATTGTGGTATCAATTACAATATAACAATCCATTGTTGGTCCAATGAAGATGAAGGAAAGAAAAAAAGAAAAGGAAAGGAAAAAGAAAAGAAAAGAAAAGAAAAACTAAAAAAATTCGAAAAATAAAAAAAATAATATTAAAAAATTAGTTCGGGGTAAAATTGTCACAGGTGTACCAGTTTGGGGTTTTTAGTGGTCAAAAAAATAGTTCGGGGTAAAATTGTCACAGGTGTACCAGTTTGGGGTTTTTAGTGGTCAAAAAAATAGTTCGGGGTAAAATTGTCACAGATGTACCAGTTTGGGGTTTTTTATGGTCAAAAAAATAGTTTGGGGTAAATCTGTCACAAGTGTACCAGTTCAGGGTTTTTCGTGGTATTAACCCTTATTTAAAACCTATAATCGACAGTTACAAACGGATGTTACAAATGGTTATTGAAAAACAAATAACTTATTAATGGTTATGAGAAATTACCATGCGTCTCCTATTATATATAAAACACTTATCTACAACAATCCTAAAATAGCGACAATCAATTAACCACCTAGCGGTTATCCCTGTGTCGATTGCACCCTGTCAATAGCGATGGCTTCGTCGATCAACTTCAATATTCTCGTCCATAACTTCAATGGCTTCATTAGCGAGTTGTCGATTCTCTTTAAGTTATTGATAATTCTGTTTATAAATAACCAAACTCTACTCGACTAAATCTATCACATGTCGATAATGACCAAAATTTGTATGTTGGTATAGAGAGAGGAGTAAATGAGTTAAACTACTTGTACTCAATTTAGGGTTTTACTCGAAGTATGCATGATTCTTCTCAAGTTAAGTACGAGTAGCTCGAGTTTCTTTTTTTATGGAGTTGAGATTGAACTTTGAAAAACTTCGACTCATATAGCTCATAAACCTAATCGAGTAGTTGATTTATTTGGTACTTTTAATTTTGTATACATTTATAATTATTATATTGTAAAAATAACTAATTAATCCTTTTTTGAATTGTATTACATCTTAAGAATGGAAGTTCGAGTTTGATTCGAATTCAGACTAAAATTTAACTATTGATGAAGTTGAGTTGAGCCGAGCTTGCATTTATTGAAAACTTAATGGAGTTCAACTCGGGCTTGAGACAGAAAGCTTGCTTGAACTCGAGCAGTGTATTGTAGTTCATTTAAAACTTTTAAAGTTCTTTTTTTCTAAATCTTAAAATATTGCAGTTGATTTATTTGGTACTTTTAATTTTGTATACATTTTAATTATTATATTGTAAAAATAACTAATTAATCCTTTTTTGAATTGTATTACATCTTAAGAATTGAAGTTTGAGTTTGATTCGAATTCGGACTAAACTTTAACTATCGATGAAGTCGAGTTGAGCCTAGTTTGCATTTAGGGAAAACTTGATGGAGTTAAACTCGGGCTTGAGACAGACAGCTTGATTGAACTCGAGCAGTGTATTGTAGTTCATTTAAAACTTTTAAAACTCTTTTTTTCTAAATCTTAAAATATTGCCTTCATTTTTGGATTTTTTTATGGGGAAACGTACATGGAGTGCTTACGCTTTTCAAAGATCATGAACAACTTTTGAAAATGCCACTCCACTTTACGCCAAACAGTGAAGATTCAGAAATTAGTACAGTTTTCCTTTTTGTCTCTGATTGTGCTAGTCAGAGAGAGAGAGAGAGAGAGAGAGAGAGAGCTGTAAAGTCGTCTTCCATCAGAGCCATGACCATTCTTCATAATGACAGCACCAAGCCTCTGTGAGGTTCGAGTTGGTTTTTCAAATGTTGGTTTTTACTCGCGTTCTGTGAGGTTCAGCGAGGAAGGTCACTGAAGAAGAAGGGAAATCTACTCCTCAGAAGGCCATCGCGTGCTCATGGGACTTGTGATGAAGAGGTGCGTCGAACTCAATCTCCATGCTCTGTTTTCTTATTTACTCTATTTTCCTGTTTTGCTCTTCACCGTTTGCTTTGGCCATTATTGATGTGTACTCGTGCTTCTTTGTTGAAGTACGTCGAGTTCCAACTTGAGCGGTTCCTGTGAAATTTTTGCTTTCTTTCTTTTTTCTCATTATTCAAATTTGAATCTGACTTTTATTTCTGTTATTTTGGGCTCGAGTATAAAATAGATTCATATCATACGATCTGGCTAGTGCTACAATTTTCGTGAATGCATTTAGAAAATCTTTATTTGAGCATAAAATAAAAGTCAATCATCTAGACAAACCCGAGATTTGTGCATAGTAATATGTTTGGAGGTCATAGGTTGATTGGTAGAATTGTTGCTTGAATATCGTGTTTAGCTAGACACACTTCTCGTTGTATTGAAACTCGGTCGAGCACATCTATGGGCATGCTTAAACTAAAAACTGACCCGAATGCAATACAGTTACGAGCTGCTGATCAGGTAAGCTGTCGTGATATGGCGAAGCCGAAGAGGTTAGTCAAGTTCATTCAAATAGATGCCGTGGTTATCGATCCTGCTTCAACTCATTAGAGCACTTGATTTATCTTGTGATTGAGCTGAAACACTTCGCTGTAGCCAAAAAAGAAAGAGAGCCAAGGAAGATGATTATTGCAGTGCCGTTGCAGCCGATGCCATGGAACGAGCCAAAGAGGTTCAGTCGTCCTTGTCGCTGCAATTCCCAAGCTTTGTCAAGCGCATGCTCCCGTCGCACGTGACTCGTGTATTTTGGATGGTATTGTGCCCCATTAAGCTGCACGGTTTCAATCTCGTGAAGATTATGATTGCTGACAAAGACACACGAGCTAATTCTCTTAGGTGACAGGGCCTTCCGAAGCAATTCTGTGACTCGCATTTGCCGAAGGAAGATGTGACGATCAAGTTGGAAGATGAGAGCGGGGAAGTATACGAAACAAAGTACCTTTTTGCTAAAACTGGCCTGAGTGGCGGGTGGAGAGGGTTTTCGATTGCTCACAGCATAATGGAGGGTGATGCAGTAGTGTTTCAACTAGTCATGCCAACCCAGTTCAAGGTTAAAATAGCATTGAAGATGATTCTTTACTCTGATATGTCCCTTTTCATGACTGTTTTTGAAAGTTTCTTGATTCAATCGAATAAGGTGGCGAGGAACAACGTTGTGATTATAACAAATCCATTGGTCACTGTAGTACAGGTTATATGGGTTGATACTGCGGTTGTCGTTTTCAGGTGTACATTGTGAGATCGAGTAATTTCAGCGAGGTGGACGGGGCTCTGGGCCTGATAAATTTGGGTCCTTGCTCAAGAAGAGTCAATCCTGGTATTCCTGAACCCAAAATGATTACGTGGTTCTTCTTGTCATATGGAGTTTCTTCACTCTTCCCCGTTTTCTGATTATGAGTTGTGCAGAACACACCAAGAGCAGCGAAGAAGAAGACGATGACACTTATTGGGTGCCTCTTGCAAAGGAACTTACTCCAGAGAACATTCATGAAGACGGTTTCAAGATCTGGAACACTGATTGCAAATCTGTTGCAGATCATCCCAAGACCGACTCCAATGACCGCGTTTCAAATGGTCTTCACGGAATTCAGTTCTCTGAATCTGTCATTGATTTCAAAGACGTGACAAGTATTGAAAATTTCTCTATAATCACCAAGGGTTTGGTTATTGACTCCGAACTCTCCGAGCACCTTAGAGCCAAGTACTACGAGCTGTGTAGGTGTCAAAAGACATTTCTCCACACTTGCCTCCTCGAAGGCCTGAACTATAAGCTGGCAGCAGGAATAATCTCTGAAACGGTGAACATTGCGGATGCTATCAGGGCTTCGAGGATCACAACTTCTATAGAGGACTTCGACGTGTGGGCCACGACTCTGAAGGCATTCGAGGACCTGGGCATGGATGTGGGGTTCTTACGAGCCCGGCTCGGCCGGCTTATCAGTCTGGCATTGACATCGAGGAAATGCGAGGAAGTGAAGGGTGAACGGGCTTGTGCTGCGGAGAAGAGGAGTAGGCTTGAAGCTGAGCTTACGGAAACGAAGGGTGCGATCAGTAGGCTACATGCTGAAATCGAGACCACAGGCAATGACAGTTACGGGCTTGAAATGGCATTTCAACAAGTTGCTAGTGCCCCCTGGTAGTTGGAAGGACATGGCCATCCATCACGACAGCCATGTGAGGCGCGCTAATGAGAGGCTGCGGCGAAACAGTCACAGGATGCACGACCTGTCCATCCCTGACCTGCAACTTTTTGGTAAGTACTATTGTCTTCTTCTTCTTTTTCTTTGGGCGTGAAGAAGATCTCCTGATCCTGAAGCTATTAGACGCCGGATGACCGGAAAGAATTTTTGTGTTGCCCGCAATGCGACTCCAGTCATATGACAGGGAGTATATGTGCAATGTAATGTAATGTCTATAATTAACCTGTAATTGTTGTGTCACTCCCCGAACCCCATGAACACGCAACATCCCGCATTGGTTGTTAAGTATGCGATATCCCAGGACTTGTCGCCGACCCAAATGAATCTCTAACGATGAATGCAAGCGGAAGCGAACTCGAACTCTCTATACAACATACAAATAAACGGGATAGTAGAAAAACATTTGATACACATCAACAATCCATTTTTATAAACACATCGTCAAATACAAATATACAATTACAAGCCTTATTAGAGGCCACCATACGAGAACCACGCACAACAAAAATGATCGGTATCGGGATCGATAACTTCTCCGTCAGGGGGAATCAATCTCCATGGGATCTCACTCCATTACTTTATCACCGCCATGATGATGGCCATGAAACCCTCGGATTGGGCCGGTCACCTCGTCTCCATCACGATAAAATCATGCCAAAAATGTACGGGGCTTTCAGTGATCTAAGCCCTTGTTTACCCATATCGTCGTATAATGCCTAATATACACCTTATCCTCACCAATCGGATACTCCATTCCATATGGTCCACATCCATGGGTACCCCAAAACATCGAGGAGGACTAGTCATAGTTGGGGGTTTGAAATAGTTATAATTCAATAACGAGAATAAATCTCAATAAGTAAACTCCCTAAGCCTCGTTTAGGATAACACGTTCGTCCGAACAATTCTAAACATGCAATCCTAACAACCAATGTGCCATAAACAAACACAGACGCCCTTACCTTGCCTTGTCACATACATAAGCCCTGCATGTTAGAAATTTGCCACAGCATGGAAATTGCTTCTTGAGCACATACATTACAATCCAAGGCATAATCATACCTAATACGACTAGTAATCCAGACTTGCTTAACAACGATCACAGGCACAAAGCATTCCCCAATGCATAACACACATTATAGATATCCATATTATTAACGGCCTCTCGGGCCTACCGAACCCCTGCCGGTCTTCGGGCGTAACCAGGCATCATCCCACTACGTCGGCGACGGCAACGTCTAAGATCAAACACTCCCCGGCAAGCCAAGTACCAAATGGCATTCCACTTAGGAGCATCGATCCGACTTCCACCGCGATCGGCAACGTCTAGAACCCCTACCTAGACGGCATCCAAACTCCTGCCGGGCATCGTCTAGAACTCCTACCTAGGCGGAACGTATCGTGATCATGCACATACCTCAACAATCATTATCAATTCTTATCTTTGCGAATTAGCCGAATGCAAACCAAATCCGCATTCGTCCAACAAAGTGTCACGCCTTTCAAATGTAATAATATCATAGGATAATTATCCGAGAGAGAGAAAATCGAGTACACATGAATCGGGGCAATTTCTGGGTGGATGCACAACAACCGAATTCCTTTTGAAATAAATAGTAAAACAATTCCAAAAATTCTGAATTTTGGATATGTCATAGAAAACATCTCGATAAACATTTTTTTATGAAGAACACAAAACCCAATTCAAACTATAAACACGTCTTTTTTGTCACTAGAAGTCAGACAGAAATCAGGTCACTCGAACAAACCACTCAGCCCTCAAAATGTGTATCATTTGGTATCCAAATCTCTTTAGAAAGCTTCGAAATTTTTATATGTCATAGAAAGACATGTCCTTAACAATTTTTCTTGGGAAATTTGTTGAAAAGAGATCTGAAAAAATTTATAAAAATTCCGAAAGACAAGAAGGTCAGTGAATAGAAATCCAGGGCAGTTTAAATCCGATTTGAAGATAAACTTCCAAATGATCTCAAATGACTTCCAAAAATTCCAAATTTAAAATATGTCATACTTCAAGATGTTAGGAACAACTTTAATGAAGAACACCATTCCAAATTCGATCCACCAAAGTCTCCACAAAAATAGTAAATCACAGAGGCGCAACAGTAATAGATCCGAGAATCAACCAACATGAACCATCAAGCAAATTCATTCAACAATTAAACCACCTATCAACAGCCCTTAATCAACCCCTAATTCAGCCCTAAACATCCCCTAAAGAAGCCATTAGTAATCCATTATCCTAACCAAGGTTTAGGGAGCCTAAGCAAGAAACCGAGCAAGAAGGGCAGCACAAGTCATGGCCAAACAGTGGCAGCTTCGCCGGAGCAGCAGCAGTCTTGGCGGACAGACGGCTGGAACAGTGGTGTCTCTGATGGGGTGGTGTTGTCCGAAAGAGAGAGGTAATGGTGGTAGTGGTGTGAGGCGGCGAGGAGCGGCGGTTCACGGCTGAGCAAGGGCTGGTCGGCAATGGTGGTGGTGAGCTTTGGCCGAAGAAGAGGAGAGTAAGGGAGAGAGTGAAGTAAACTTGATCAAATGGCAAGAGAAAGAGAAGAGTGAGAGGATGGTGTCTACTAACCCCACTCAAACCCCATCAACCACCCCACTAGGATCCAATGGTCAAAATTCCTTTTTCTTCTCCAAGCCAAGATCCTAGGGCTCACAACTAATCTCCCAAAATAATTCACTTAAATAACTAATGACAAATAAATAAATAAACAAGAAGGATAGGGGCAAAGTGGTCAATGTAGTTCGGCCAAGAGGGGAATGCCATAAAGTCCAAATCGCCCTTCAATGCAACAAATGATTTCAAAATATTTTAGGGGTAAAATGGTCTCTTTCAACACCTGGTCCAAATTTCACTTTTTCGATAATTCCAAGGTATCTAATAGTTGGCCACGCTTAATGAGACGACGTCCGATAAATTTTCGTGGAATCTTGAAAGTTCGACATCTCATTCCGGATTCTAATTAATGGCTAAAATCAATCAATCGCGACTTTAGTGTATCTCAAACTAACGGGCGGCTTTTAGGAGTTACGCGTATCGACCCGTGGTTGACTCAGTTATCAAATCACATCTAAGTTTACTCAAGCCATGGCCACCTCGGTTGTCATGTAATTGTGCGGGTCAATTACTAGTTCCGATGGACACGATCGTTCGGAATAGGTTTAGGATCGTTTGAAATTCATACAATGGCTAAGTGGAATCACCTGCGATCTAATTGTATAACATTGGCGAGTCGTTCCATAACCATCTTTGGATCGGCCTATAATGGCCCAAAATATTCCCTCGTCAATCCTCATGGTCGAAGTGCCAGTCTATGGTCAAGCTCTTAGTTCCTAGCTAGCCATTCCCTAACGGTTAGTCTTCTCAAGAGTGATCAATTCCGAGTGAGATTTAACTAAGAGTGCATCGAAGATATATTCATTCCATAGATCCCGAAAATGGGTCAAATTTCAGAATATCACATGTTGCTAATGCTATAACTGGAACCTTGGACTTGAAAGAGATAGACTAGATATTGAAGATAACTGGCAAAGAACTGCTCCTGAAATTAAGGGTGATCGGTTCCTGGGTGGGTCAATCCTCGGCCTAGAACCAGGAACCGACTTTGTGGCTCTCGACCGGGAACTGGACCGAGCGATTTTGAAACAGGGAACCGATTCTTGGTTCCGTTTCGATACAGCTGTCCACAACTATATATTCTTTCTTTTTTTAAATGATTTATTAATTTATTGAAAAGAAAGATATCTCATTGCTTTTTTGAGTCTTTGTGAGACCAAATGGGTGTGCTTTCACGGGCTCTCTTGCGCGCTTCTGGGCAGGAAATTGTAATATCTCATGGAGTGCTGGCTCGTGGATGGATATCATCAGCTGGGCAACCCGAGTCCTCGGTGGACAGAATTTCCATCAACGTATTGCTCGTGCCTCCTTTGGGGTGATGTGCCACTGCATTTGGACTGAACGAAATCCTATTTAGGGAACGTAACCCCTACATGCCCGCACTTCGTTCTCACCTGGCCAAGACTGTAAGAGATGTGGCAGTTTCTCTCCAGCCTGTTGTTGACACATCGCGTAACAGAAGACTTCAAGTCAAGTGGGGCATTCCGGCCTCTATCTTTCAGTGACGATCCTTGTTATTGTCTTATAGTTGTTTTATCTTGTTTGGCCGCTGTGTTGGCTATAGTTAGTGCTGCGCACTTGGTGCTTAATTGCTTCTTTTAGCCGCTGCACCTTTGCACCCGTCGTGACACTTTTGTGTTGCCTCAAGTACGAGGTTTTTGTGTTCGGCAACTCCTCTTGTAAATTGCGCGTTGAAAAGTTAATATACTACTTACCTTATCAAAAAAAAAAAAGAAACATTTCCTTAGCCAAGTGGGTAGAGAAGGAACTGACACACTCCACTAGGGAATATTTTTGCGGCTGTCCATTTTCCTTTTATCATTAAAACACCCACACCTCTCTTTCTACTCTCTTTCATCAGTATCAAGCAGTAAAGGGTGAGCAATGGTCAGGGTTGACCCTGGATCGGCCCAACCCGGCTAGTCCTAGTACGGTTTCCAAGGGAACTGGGTTGATCTTTGGTCCTAGGACCCTTAGACCCTGTACTGTGCGGGTTGATCCTCGTTCCTGGAAGTTTAGGATTGGTCCAACCTGGACCAACCCTATTTATATAATAATATATAAATAAAAATATATTTATTTGTTTTCCAAAGAACCTAAGGCCCCTCCCTCCTCTTCTTCAATAGAAACCCTATTGATTATTGAGCGTCGTTTCTCTTCTTTCGTCGCTTCTCTGTGCTGCTCGCTAGATCTGCCTATCCTCGCTCGCCTCATGAACCAGCTTGCCTCTCTTGGCCCGCCTCGGCGCCTCACGAACGGCGAACACAGGTTGCCTCACTTGGCCCTCCTTGGCTCCTCACGAACGGCAAACCTCACGAGCGAACAAGATATGAAGTTGTTTGTTTTCTTTTTCAGGTGTTCATATTTGAAGAAATCTTTTAAGAATAAACAGGATATTAAATTGTATAATTCATGGTTTATGTTATGTATTTTTACCATTTTATTTTTTAATTTTATTTCACGTGTTCGTATACTATTAAGTGGAGATTTTTGTTGTTGCCTTACCTTAGATTTTTATTTGATTTGTACCGAGGTCCATAGTTTGGTTACTCAATATTGCATTGTCGATGGATATGTATTTTTAAAGTGT